AAGCATTAAGTAGAATATGCACCAGCGCCTAGAATCCAGTTTCTTGTGGGGGGTGATTAACTTCATGTGCTGATAACTGTGACAAAGCTACCACTTAGGATAGGTTATCTTACCAAAATATCATCTATGGATGTGTACCTTTTAAAAACTGTGACTAGATTTTGCCACCTTGAGTAGTACCTAATTTTGGTCTGGCCCATGGACTACAGTGCAGTGAAAAAGTATTTGCCCCCTTCCTGATTTCTTTTTTTTTGTTGCATATTTGTCACACATACTGTTTCAGATCATCAAACAAATTTTAATATTAGACAAGGACAACCCGAGTAAATACAAAATGCAGTTTTTAAATTATGATTTCATTTATTGAGGGAAAAAAGCTATCCAAACCTACCCAGCCCCGTGTGAAAAAGTAATTGACCCCCTTGTTAAATCATGAATTATCTGTGATTGACCACATTTTTTTAGTTCAATTTCACTAGTCACACTCAGGCCTAATTACTGCCAGACCTGTTGAATCAAGAAATCACTTAAATAGGACCTGTCTGACAAAGTGAAGTAGGCTAAAGGATCTCAAAAAGCAACACATAATATCATGATCTAAAGAAATTCAAGAACAGATGAGAAACAGTCATTGACATCCACTGGGCAAAATAGGCTAGAATCCGGAGATATTTTGACTGGATACTTTTAATGACACGCAGCATATCTGGACCAGGTTTTGACCATATCCTGACTTTTTAAGAATCTGTGAAAATACAGACATATTTTGATTCTGGATTTGCACTGGGCAAAATATAAGAATCCGGAGATGTTTTGACTGGATATTTGTAAGACATGCAGCAAATACAGAACATGTTTTGACCGTATCCAGACTTTTTAATTCGCTCAAGATATTCACATATTAGAGACTCTTTTGCGTGTGTCCACACATTTGTACCACGGTGGTACTGAGCTGCTGGTTATTAGAATTTGTATCTATATAGGCTATCCAGAGGTCGCGTTAACCGAATATTTTCCGTCATTGACGGATATTTTTAAATAATGACGGAATATTTTGAAGGCCGTCCGTCATTTTGACAGAATGTAATTCACGCCCCAGTCCAATTGGTGGTGGATGTCATATTGTCTCGAGCATTGTCTTTGATCTGTATGATCCTCTATTCCTCATATTTTTGTAATATGATCATTTGCTCTTCATTTGTAAAATATGCTGCTCTGCTGCCGGTAGACGATTGGTCATATGCTACAAACACCATCTCTGTTATGTGAACACGCAGATATGTAGGTCGGGAAAACCCCGGTTGACATAACGAGTAGATAAGCAGCTTCGTAGGACCACTAAGCGAGACTGTGGTTGTTAGGCTTAGTGAAGTCATTAATTATTCTTTCAACGCGCACTGAAGAAATTCACTTGCGGAATTTAAGTCATTTTGCATTAAGTTAATAAGTTTCACGTGCATTACGCTGGATTTCCCCACTAGTGACACGGAAATCAATTATGACTCGGGAATTCTCACACTTGTCTTTACTAAGGGATTGAAAGCAATGGAATTGCATAAAGACGTTTCAAATGGTCTTTTTCATTAAAACAATTTAAACGATCATGAAACACATGAATTGTTTCCAATGCCTGAGTAAAGGGAAGCACGGCAAGTCCGGAGTCATAATCGCTTTCCATGTTACTTGTGGTGAGGTCCACCTTGACCTAAGTGAAACTGAACTTCAATGAACAAGGATTTTAATTCCACGTGAGAATCTTATCAATAATCGTTCATTGAATAATTACGGAGTACGTTGAATAAGCCTAAAAATGCGTGAGACCTTATGGGGTGCCGTATGTAAAAATTCAGTCACACTGTTTTAGCTGATATATTTTGAATATTTAGCTCACTTTTCTCACATTTAGCTCACTTTCTTCACATTTAGCTCATTTACTCACATTTAACTCATTTTCCTCATATTTGAAGTAGAAATTAAATGGTGAATCTAAATGCTAAATCTAAATGGTAAATCTAAATCTTAATGCTAAATCTAAATCTAAATGCTAAATCTAAATGTTAAATCTAAATCTAAATCGGTCGCCAAGTGTAAAGCTAAATGTTTAGAAAATATGCAAATAGCCCATGCCTGTCAGCGCGCACAGACCCAACCACGCCTTTCATCGCGCACAGAGCCACCCACGCCTTTCAGCGCGCACAAACCCGCCCACTCCTCTGAACCGACCGTGCTGTGGATGCGGACTGCAGAGGTGAAGAGCGAGGAAGGACCGAAACATGGCCGGTTCTCTCCAGTTAGGAGAGATTGAACGGGCTGTTATGGCAGGTGTGCGTGCTGCACTTCAAGTTCACTTCACTTTTTTACTGTATTCTGGGGGAAGCTGCTGTTAGCTAACCGACCTAGCGAGCTAGCCTTTGCCAGTGTGACGAGGGTGCCTGCTAAGCCTAAGGTTTTGTGATTCACTGAAAGGACTTTCAGGGACTGTTTTGCGGAAAGTTAATACTTTACCCACAACTTAGTGATTACCAGTAAGAAAGCTGTGGTTGCTAAATAACGTTATGTGGCTAACGTTCACAGATAGCAAACCTTAGCGAAGTTAAACGAAGGACCAGGAGTTTTGCCGCCATGAATCAGGCCTTTTCTTGAAAAATCTTCAGGTGCACGAATATTTGCGCCTGTAAACTTGTTTCACTTTAAGTAGCGGTGTACTTAAGACTCTATGGTCATTTAACACTTTAACATGGATTTTTAACGGGTTATAATGTTGGCTCGTGTTTCAGGTCTCCACGCCACAGGTTAACCCACAGGTACCTCCAGCTGTGTCCTCAGGCACTGCCACTGTTGCTAGCACTATCCCATCACTGAGATAAGTAAGTGAAGTTGTGTTACTATGTCCTATGTTTTGTTACCTTAAGTTAACTGAGAAACGTTAGCTCACAAAAGAAAACCCATCCAGTTTATCAGCTAATTCAGATGGTATATTTCAGAGCTAGAGTTATTGTTCAGCTGTAGTCCATCTTGATATATCTTCTTCCATTTTATACATTATGTTGTGGGTTGGTTGTGTGACTAAACTGCAATTGCATACGAGACCTCCCTTGTCATTCCCAGCTTGTCCAATGTTGACTGTTAATGTCTCTGTAATGTAGGATAGTCAGGGTTGGGAGGGTTACTTTAAAAATGTATTCTGATACAGTTACTAATTACCTGTTAAAAAATGTAGTCAGTAACTTAATCCAAGTATAACAGTATTAAAGTAATGTAACTTCATCACTTTACTTATGGATTACCTTAAAACCAAAAATGCTCATTATGACCGTTGTTTTCCTTTTTTTGCTTTTAAGACAAAATATTGGAGAAATAATAATGTAACAGGTAATCCTTGACAATGTAACTATAATCTAATTACACATTTCTCAAATGCAATCTGTGCTGAATATAGGGACTTATTTTTTGTAACCTGATTATGTAATCCCAATTGCATGTAAGTATTTACTACCCAACCCTGTGAATAGTGATGCCAAGGATAACAATAATTATATTTTAGCATTAAAAATATCATTTCGGTTAAAGAACTTCTACATACTGGTGTATTTGCCATTACAGAAACATGATAAATGATTTCCGTAATTACCAATGCTGTTAATTTAGGGCAGCTGTGGCATAAACCTCACATTGGGTGTCTGATAAATTTGTTAAGCACTGTATATGTAGCAGTAGCATATTTTTCTCAAATTTTTGTGTCTGTGCATGTCTAGCTATGCAATCAGCATTTTTTGGGGGGTAGGGTGGGGGGTGCTACACTGCACTGAAAATGGCACCGTTCATGAGACCCACCAGAAAATGGTAATCAAATTCATCATCATCTGCCAGATTCTTTCTGTTGACAAAGATCTGGAGCTCATTTGAGCATGTGTGAGCAACTGGAATGTGTTTTGTCTCATCATGAACAAAAATCAGTTTTGGACTGGGAAGAAATCCAATCGCCGGAACTCTGCTGCTTCCGGTTGCAAAGGCTAGGATGTGTCCAGGAGTCAATGTCAGGATAAACGCCTGCTCTTCCTCAGTGAGGGTCCTGGCATGAAGTCGTTCACCTACTTCTTTCTCTATAAGGGTGAAAAAGATACAAAACAGAAAATATAGAGATAATATGGTTTTGTACATATCTTCAAAGTATATCTGTTGCAGATTATAAAGAGTGAAATGATTGTATCAGTCTTCAACATAGGTAGAAGAATGTAGGAAAAAAAAAAGGCCCACCAAACACCACCACACATACTGTAGCATAACCGCAGCAGGATAGAGCAGAAGTTATACCCCAACAGACATATGGGGTGATTTCTGAACTCATGAAAGCTGTGAATCAGGAAGTGCCCTGCCCCTGTGCCCTGCCCTGCGCCCTGCCCTGTGTTCTGCCCCTGCGCCCTGCACCGCACCCTGCCCCGCCCTGCGCTACGCCCTGCTCCCTGCCCTGCTCTGCGCCCTGCCTTGCTCTGCACCCTGCCTTGCGCCCTGCTCTGCGCCCTGCCCTACGCCCTGCAAAGTGAAAAGTAGCTCCATTTGGCCTTTGCTGTCCTTGTAATTCCATCCCATCAGGTAGCGTACGGGCTCCAACACCCTCTTGCCTCTCAGAATGTTCCCCCTGGGTTGTGGACTGTACATCTCTCTGACTCACTATATGAAGACAATTTTTTCATTGAGTGCAATAAGTCACCCATTTGTCTCAAATAAAAAAAAAAAAGTCTAGAACAATAGTAATACAATACACTTTATTGAACCCCGTGGGGTAATTTGGCCTCTGCATGTAACCCATCCTATTGTTAGGAGCAGTGCGCAGCTACAGTGCAGCGCCTGGGGACCAACTCCAGTTCTAACCCAGTTCCTTGGTCTGGGGTGCTGGTTGGAGTGTTCCTATAGTGCATGTTTTTCCAGGTGGGGGAAACCAGAGTACCCAGAGGAAACCCACGCAAACACGGGAAGAACATGCAAACTCCACACAGAAAGGCCACAGGCCGGATTCAAACCCACAACCTTCTTGCTGAGGCAACAGTGCAAACCACTGCACCACCGTGCTGCCCACCGCCCACTATCTGATCAGCATTATTATTCTCAGTAATTAATGATTCAATCTGAATCAGTAATTTTTACACATGATGAGGGGCAATATAAGTGTTTTTACCCACCTGTCCTTCGTTGTATAATTGGGCTTTCAGAATCGCTGTCATCAGACAGTTCCACACACTGATTCTGCATAAAAGTGTGAACTCCTATGTAAAATGGGCAACTTGAACAGTAAGATACAAAGCAAAATCTTCAGAGGATGACACAGAGGTAATTCTATCTGAGAAAATACATATTTTTTAAGTGTGGGGAGAATACAACATCTTGCTTGTAGAAGGGTCAGACAACTGCGTTGGACTAGGATGTGGGGGGCGATTCAGCAATTGAGTACAGGTTAGCTCATCACTGGATGACCAGGGCCCAGTATTTCAAAATATTTATTCTAGATCATAATCATCTGGATAGGATTAAATCTCAGAGTTGGGTATTTCAACACCACGTGATCCTGTTCCCACAAAACCAGGATATGGATTTGGTGATACAATCCTACCCACAATCCAGATCAAATGCTTTTGGGTATTTCAAAACTCTAAGCTGAAGATCAGGATAGTTTTCATGTTAAAAATCAGGACCTTCCAACTGGAAGGATGGATCCAGCATGGATTAGAGGTGGATGTAGGGACACTTAGGATATATGGCGCATATTTAATCATTCTTTTATTCAATTCTTACATATTAAAGTAACATAGACCAAAAAACCTCTATTCTAAATTAAACAATTAACCTGTGAAGCCAGTAGTGCAAATATCCCTTCTGAGCCAATACATAGCATGTCACTCCTGCGCCACTGTCACCAATATATATGATTAGTTTCATAAACAGGCTACACATGCTTGTTCAATAAACAGGCAGCAATCCATTTGTACAGAAACTCTCTTCTGTCTTTGCTGGAATACCACACTAAATTATGCAGTACTATGCTCACCTGTGCTGGAGCTTCCATTCCTGCCATGATGTATAGACAAGTGCCAGAACAGACGGAGGCAACTTCCTTCCCACCCCAGAGGAAGTTGGAGGTGACCCTTGGTTTCATCAGTTTTTTACACCCTTTGATGGTGCTCAAAAACTGAAATGGGAATGGCTGGTGCTCTGGTAACCCAAATGCTCCTCTGAAGATAGCATTTATTTCATTTCTCACTTGGTCTTCAGACCACTCTCTGGAAAATGGAATTTTTCCAACAAGGCCAGCCTGAGCTAACCTGGTCCGAGTTTCTCCTCTGGGTATAACGGACACCAATGCCTCTGGTGAGAAAGGGAAACATACAACTTCCTTTGTGTATGTTTTGACATTCCTTCGATTTAAGTATCTTGATCGAGCCCCATTACGTCGATGTACGGATGGGATGGATGGCAGAGGAGGCTATAGAAAACAAGCAGACCGAGATATTTTTCTTAATGGAGCACATAGTGACCCTGTGAAACAGTAAAGAGGTAAACAACTGCATACAAGCCTCTAGTGTGATTTAGTGTAGTGGAGCCACTCGTATCATTTTGCCATACATAGGATGTGATCGTTTTATGCTAGCCAAATTAATGCATTTCACATTACAATTTAAAAAAGCTATGACCAATGTTCTATAATTGTTTCTTTAATGAGGAAAATCCAGACTTGCTTCAATTTGCCAAGACATCCTGAATTGCCCACCCACAACATGATGTATGTAATGAAAGGAGATACAATAACTCTAGCTCTGAATTATGCCATCTGAATTAGCTGATAAACTGGATGGGTTTTCTTTTGTGAGCTAACGTTTCTCAGTTAACTTAAGGTAACAAAACATAGTACATAGTAACACAACTTCACTTACTGATCTCAGTGATGGGACAGTGCTAGCAACGGTGGCAGTGCCTGAGGACACAGCTGGAGGTACCTGTGGGTTAACCAGTGGTGTGGAGACCTGAAACACGAGCCAACATTATAACCCGTTAAAAATCCATTTTAAAGTGTTAAATGACCATAGAGTCTTAAGTACACCGCTACTTACAGTGAAACAACAAGTTTCCAGGCGCAAATATTCATGCACCTGAAGATTTTTCAAGAAAAGGCCTGATTCGTGGCGGCAAAACTCCTGGTCCTTCTTAACTTCGCTAAGGTTTGCTATCTGTGAACGTTAGCCACATAACGTTATTTAGCAACCACAGCTTTCTTACTAGTAATCACTAAGTTGTGGGTAAAGTGTTACCTTTCCGCAAAACAGTCGCTGAAGGTCCTTTCAGTGAATCACAAAACCTTAGGCTTAGCAGGCACCCTCGTCACACTGGCAAAGGCTAGCTCGCTAGGTCGGTTAGCTAACAGCAGCTTCCCCCAGAATACGGTAAAAAAGTTCAAGTTTTAATTGCGCAACTTACCGTTAATTGTGTGGATGGTACCGGCGGCAGTGCACCTTGAAGTGCAGCACGCACACCTGCCATAACAGCCCGTTCAATCTCTCCTAACTGGAGAGAATCAGCCATGTTTCGGTCCTTCCTCGCACTTTACCTCCGCAGTCCGCATCCACAGCACGGTCGGGTCAGAGGAGAGGGCGGGTTTGTGCGCGCTGAAAGGCGTGGGCGGCTCTGTGCGCGATGAAAGGCGTGGTTGGGTCTGTGCTTGCTGACAGGCGTGGGCTATTTGCATATTTTCTAAACATTTAGCTTTACACTTGGCGACCGATTTAGATTTAACATTTTGATTTAGATTTACCATTTAGATTTAGCATTTAGATTCACCATTTAATTTCTACCTCAAATATGAGGAAAATGAGCTAAATGTGAAGAAAGTGAGCTAAATATTCAAAATATATCAGCTAAAAAAGTGTGACTGAATTTTTACATACTGCACCCCATAAGACCTACGCCGAATGCGTGAGATTTGGCATCTCTGACATGGATTAGCCTACTGTCGGCATCAGCTAATGCGTAATCTATAAATTATTCTGTATATTTTATGTAAAAAAATTAAACGATTATCATTTAAAAAAATAAAATTACAATGACGGATAATAATTGATCATGCCGGAATTTTTATGCCCCTGTCCATCATTGTGACGGACAATCAGAAAGTGTTAAGCGACCTCTGAGGCTATCTATTTTGATTTAGGAATGCAAATTGACTTGGGATTTACTTAGGCCTATGAGATATAAGCCCTATGATCCATAGGGCTCATATCTCATAGGCCTAAGTAAATCCCAAGTCAATTTGCTTTCCTAAATCAAAATAGATAAAACTAATGTGTACAAAACTTCATCATGCCAAGATGCAAAGTAAATGTGAATTATCACCATGCAACTTGTAGCGTAATGAGCTTACTGTGTAAGCTTATTTGGCTACACGTTGCATAGTCTTCTCGATCCACCGATCTGATATCAGCCCTTCCTTGCTGTCACATCATCCCGCCAAAACCTGCTGTCCAGTAGCATGGAATAGAACGTTGTGATTCTTAAGAATGATTGACCCTCATCTGGCCCGTTTATTAAAAATCAGAGGAGAGTTGTTGGCACTGGCGGCATTTCACAAGTTCAGCGTGAGGACGTACAAAATTTAGTTTTCATACTACTTTACTAATAGATGTTAATAATGGGAACTCCACGACGATCCCCGAGTGACATCGCGAATGCTTGGCGTGCAAGTTCGATGTCGTTTCATGGTGAGGTGGAAAACCCAACATTGAGAGATGTTCTGAGGTAAGTTGAAATAACATGAAAATGGAATTGTATTTTTTCCAGAAGTACATACAATATTTTGTTTTAATGTAGATTGAAATTAAAGCACATGTGAAAATTGTATCGTTTAACTTTTCCATCCTTTAAAAAACACTGACTCTTTAGCGAACTAGCTAAATTAGCATTAGTGCTTATCCATTAGTACACTTGGAGGAAGGCTATGTTAGCTACAGGCAGCCTGTCCTGGCGGGCTTTTTCACTCTGGGTTTTTCTGTCTGGCGGGCAGACGTTAGCTACATAGCTAGTTAGCTAGCCTGCCACCCGTTGATGTCTTGGGATAACAAGCTGGTTAGCATATGATGTGTGTGATATAATGCATTATCATTCATCTGCATGGGACAGATTTTAAATCCCCCTTCTGCAAATAATATGTAACCTGCTGCATAGTTAGCAAGCAGGATATCTTGGCATAACAAGCTGATTGGCATACGATGTGGTTGATTGCACTGAAGCCAGGGTTCCCACGGTCATGGAAATCCTGGAAAATGTCATGGAATTTTTTAAATTTACAAAACTGAAGAAGATATTGCATGTTTTCTGTTCAGCTTTAGGTCACCTCATAATGAGGAGGTCACCAAGGCCATCATCCAGGCCATTAAGGATTCTGGAGAGAGCTGGGGACCAGAGAGCTTACTAAGAAGTAAGATTTAAGATTATTCCTCTGACATTCATGTGATAATACGGAAGCCGAGAGCGGCAACGTATTTACTTTTTTATTTTACTGCCGTTTTCTTGTGATAACGACTAATTGTTTCGTTATCTCAATATAACAAAGTCCATTTTCTTGTGATAACGTGTCAACCTAACATGGCGTGACTCTATTCCAGCCACATGATTGGTTTGGCGAGGTGCAACTCTCATCATCATTGACTGATTGTATTGTCTGTCAAAACATGGATGAATAAATAATAATAAATCTATTGGCTGTCTATCGACCGTATCTCATATTTCTATCGAGGAAAAGTTATGTCACAATGTATATTGTTATTGTTTCTTCACCCAGCCTTATTTTGAAATAAGTAAAATATTAAGCAGATTTGAAGTGAACTGCACAGTAATATGTTGTGGCTGATTTAGGTCACAAGGTGGCAGTGTTCACTTATATTTTGCAAAGCCGGCTCTGATATTTTGAACTTCTGGTCTGAAAAGTGATGATTATAATGATAATCTTCTCATCTGAATATAGTGAATGACCTATGCATGCATGCATGTGAGATAATTAGCCTATCCCACGGAAACAAAAGTTTGTTATA